ACAAGAAGTAACAGGGGTTGGCGGGGATGCGGAGAAAGGGGAATCCTCTTGCACTATTGGTGGGAATGCAAACTGGTGCAGCCACTCTGGAAAAGAGTATGGAGGTTCCTCAAAAAGTTAAAAATAAAACTACCCTATGACCCAACAATTGCACTACTAGGAATTTATCCAAAGGATACAAAAATAGTGATTCAAAGGAACAATGCATGCCAATATTTATAGCAACATTATCACAATAGCCAAATTATGGATAGAGTCCAAATGTCCATCGACTGGTGAATGGTTAGAGATGTGGTATATATACATACAATGGAGTATTAGTCATCAAAAAGAATGAAATCTTGCCATTTGCAATGATGTGGATGGAACTAGAGAGTATTATGCTAAACGAAATAAGTTAGTCAGAGAGACAAATACCATATGATTTCACTCATTATGTGGAATTTAAGGGAAAAAAAACACAGATGAACATAAGGGGAAGAAAAAAGGAGGGAAGCAAACCATTAGAGAGATTCTTAACTACAGAAAACAAATAGGGTTGCTGGAGGGTAGGTGGGGGGTGGGGGGGTGGTGGACTAAGTGACAGGTGTTAAGGAGGATACTTGTGACTGAGCAATGGGTGTTATATGTAAGTGATGAATCACTAAATTCTACTCCTGAAACTAACAGTACACTATATGTTAACTAGAATTTAAATAAAAACTTGAAACATTAAATAAATAAGACTATTAGGGTCATGGAAACAGAAATATTTAAGTTTATGTAAATACTGGTAAAATAACAGAGACATATTTAAATTATGTTCTCATGTATTAATAATATTCTTTATGGGGGGGTGCCTGGGTAGCTCAGTCCGTTGAACGTTAGACTCTCTTGATTTCAGCTCAGGTCATGATCTCAGAGTCGTCACATTAAGCCCACATCAGGCTCTGCATTCAGCAGGGAGTCTGCTTTAGATTCACTCTCCCTCTCCCTCTGCCCATCACCCGCCCCCCCAAATAAATAAATAAATCTTTTTAAAAAATTATTTATGATTATTGTTGAATATACAGAAAATGTGGAAATAATAAAGGAATATTCAGAAATTTAAGGAAGGTAGTAATGTTATAAATAAAAATTGACAGTATAATCATAAAAAAAGTCTTTGGGGAGTGAAAAGTTATACATGGAGTTTTTGACCAGACAGGAGGCTGGCACCCCTAATCCTCACATTGTTCAAAGGTCAACTATATATGTAAAGTGCCAGATGCCAATCCTAGCACTTAGTAATTGTTGGATAAGTCTTAGTGCTCTACCACCTTTCCCCAGAGTGCTTCCATTGGGCCCAACATAGCTGTGACAGGATGAACTTGAAATTTTTTAGGGCAACAAGGAAGTGGTTCAAAACAGCCTCTTTTTTACCTTAAAGATTTTACTGCCACCATAAGTAAGATGGGATAATTATATAAGGCTCCGGGTATGTACAAGGCCATTCTCTGGAACATATATCTGATTCCTTGTCTTAGAAGAGAAATCACCACTCTAGAGGGAAGCTCAGTTACTCAACAAAACATTCTCGGCACTTAATAGAGCCAAACACATACAACTGTGGCCACATAGTCACATGGACCCTGTCCTTAAGAGTTTGCAGAGTACGTAAACAAAGCATGAGCAACAGTCATGTGTAAATTAAGGTCTGACATCACTTCCCAAATAGGCAGTAAACATATCAAAGAACTACAAATTATCTCACGCCAAGTTTTGACATTCGCTACCAGCACTCACTTTGACAAATTTAAATGGAAAGAAATGCCTAAATATACACTAAGTAGCTTTATAAGTTATAATTTTTCTATATTAAAAATTGACCAAAGAAAAAAAACTGATGAAACAAAACTTATTCAGTCCAAAGACTAGTTATTCCTCTGCCCCCAACAATGGAAATATGATTCAGTTTTTCTTTTGACCAATTTCAAAAACCAGAGAACTAGAACACAGTATCTGTATTATATATTTAAATGACTATTTTTGAACCAATCTCTCTGTATCTTAAAAATCTACCGCCAGGAAATAAGCACATAAGGCCCTTACTGCAAACCTTCCATAAGAGAATCAATACTAAAGCAAAGGCACTAATGACACAGAATCCACAATTCAATATAAATAAGAACCATACTAAAATGAAAATGGTGAGTACTGTACATTAATTCAGAACTATTGTTAGAAAAGGTCATGATATTAAAATAAGTTGTGATCCACCAATCTAAGTAATTACTTAATTTCTCTCAGTCTAGGCTTATTTTTCTGTAAAACTGGGAAGCAATTCTTCCTAAATTCCAAGGATGCTCTGAGGACACATAATTATAAACCTAGGTACTGTAATAAGCCCTTATACAACAAATCTGGACTACACTATAATGTCATTAGAAAAGCCTATATAAACTACTGGGATTTTCACAGGCACTCATTAAATCATAGCACTGAGAACTACTTCTCACGTTTAGTCAACTGGATACTAAGTTGGTTAACTGCTGACATAAAAAAAAGTGATAGTCTTAAAAAAAAACAACCATCTTTTAAAACTGAGTGACAAATTCAGAGGCTTCTCATTGGTACTTAGCACTTAATGATTCAAGTAAATGTTAATCTCTGTCCAACTGTTATCTTCCAATAAACAGCTAAGCTAGAACTCTGATCTTTCAAATCTCAAACGGTAAGAATTCAAGATGCCAAATTTCTGATACTTGTCCACGTATATTTTATGGCTGGATTGTGGAACTATGCTAGCCTACTTGACAAGGCTCTAGCCAAAATTCTCCTCTATAGAAAGATAATACTACTGGGCGCCTGGGTGGCTCAGTTGGTTAAGCGACTGCCTTCGGCTCAGGTCATGATCCTGGAGTCCCGGGATCGAGTCCCGCATCGGGCTCCCTGCTCGGCAGGGAGCCTGCTTCTCCCTCTGACCCTTCCCCCTCTCATGTGCTCTCTGTCTCTCTCATTCTCTCTGTCTCAAATAAATAAATAAAATCTTTAAAAAAAAAAAAAAAAAAAAAAGAAAGATAATACTACTGTCACCATTTAACTAATTTTTCCTAAACTGGTGATTCTTTTTTTTTTTTTTTAAGATTTTATTTATTTATTTGAGAGGGAGAGAATGAAAGACAGAGAGCATGAGAGGGAGGAGGGTCAGAGGGAGAAGCAGACTCCCGCCGAGCAGGGAGCCCGATGCGGGACTCGATCCTGGGACTCCAGGATCATGACCTGAGCCGAAGGCAGTCGCTTAACCAACTGAGCCACTCAGGCACCCTAAACTGGTGATTCTGCTGCTCCATCTACAACTGTCACCCAGCTCCAGTCTTCTCATAAGCTACCACACACTAGTGGGGCAGTTGGCTGGCATTATGTTGCAGCCTCTAGCCAAATAAAGTGACGCTAACTGGAACTGAACCAATGGTCATTTTGCAAGGACACTTGAACTTTGAAGCACTCTGTAAATTGCTGGTTATTTCTAATAATATTCCTGTGAAGTTTCAGTATTGAGCCATCTATTATATTTCACTGTAAACTATACGTCACCTTAAAAACAAAAAAAGTGCAAGATATGTCCCTGGTTTTTAAAAACTCACAAATCTTGTCCAATTCTTTTTAAGTGTAAACAACTCTTACCAATGGGGGCAGGCTCCACTTAAAACTGGGAGGCGCTTCTCAGAGCAGCTAACCTGGCATCGGTTATTTGGGAACAACAGCTATAGGTCCTAGAATCTTAGGCTTTTCAAGCGCAGCAAGCCCAAGCCTTCATTTTACAAATGAGATTTTAAATTAAGAGCTTATGGTCTGATTACTATGATAGCTAACTCTTACATTGTACTAGGTACAAGGTACTGTTCTAAGCCCTTTACACCTATTTACTCCTTTAATCCTCACAACAAACCAGAAACAGGGTGAGGTCAACTAATTTGCCCAAGGTCACAGAACTATTAAGTGACAAAGCCAGAACTGAAATCCAAGCAGTCTAGCTCCTGAATCCTTATTCAAACCACCAAGCTCTACTGCGTCTCTATAGAATGGCTTAAATGCAGCCTAGGGCTCTTCCACGACACTAGGGTTCAGAGTTCCAACCTGAGAAACTAATTCTCCCTACCTCCCTTTCTCCAATGCCACCATCGCCCACTACCGCAAATAAACTGCAAACTTGTGACTCCAAAAGTTCCTCCTGCCTGTCTACAACCTTAAATAATCTGACTTCTCTATCCAAAATAGGTACCCTCTAAGAAACCGAAAGATGCAGTAGTCAGTCAGTAGTCAGAAAAGAACTTGTGTTGCTCGCTGCTGTTTTAATGGGAACATCTGAAATGCCAATAGCCTATGAGCGAGCGCTTTTTCTGAGAAGGGCAAACACCTACCGTATTTTCATGATGCCTAAAGTGATGAAACGGAGCTAAAAACAGGGACGGCCCTCTTTTTTATCCAGCTGTCTCTAACTTATTCGAGAAAGGAGATTCTCAGTTTATGCATCTGAATGTAGATGAGAAATGGGTGGAGGGAAAAATGGGGGTGGCTATTACTCCAACTCTCCAAACTAAGGAGGCTCAGACTTCAGACCCAATGTGTTAGAAGTTAAACCCAGCATTACACACCACTGCTGCCTGGCCGGCTTCAGTGCCCCTCCAGGCTGCAACGAGGTGGTTACGTGGCGCTTGGAGGCATTTCCTCCAGCCTGAAGAGGTGGCGGATTTCCCGGCTGGTGGAAGCCCCTCGCTCAGGGCACTGCGACAAGGGGAGCCCCGGGGCGGCGGGAAGTGGGACGTGATAACTTCCCGGGGATACCAAAGGGGGCAACTTCTGGAGCTGCTTGCGCGGAGCCGCTGGGGGACCACGCCTGCTCGCCTCCCCTACCCCTCAGGCCCACCCCCGCCAAACCCGCCTCCCGGCCTCAAGGGTCTGCAGCAAGCCGGAGACGCGACCGGACTCCTGAAGCAAGAGCTCCCAAGGGCGGACGCGACCCTCTGTGGGCTACTCACCAGGTTGAGGGGTCCTTCCATTACTTCCATAGACCCCGGGGTAAGCGGCGGCCTGAGGAAGGGGAGCGACGGCGCCGGGGCACATGGAGGAAAACAGTAGTGAAGGGGACGACGCAGCGGCGACGGCAGCTGCCCCTCTCCGCGCCCCGGGAGACAGCAGTGGGCGCAGAGGGAGCAACAAACGCACCACTTCCTCCTCCGGTGGCGCGCTGCGGACCCGCCCCCTGCGCCGCGGGCACGCACGCGTCATGGCGTCACACGTGGCTGGTTCAAGGTGGGAGTGAGGACCGGGGAGTGGGTGGGGCTCAGGGAAGGCGGGGCACGGACGGGCGTACACTTGCTCCTGGGCTATCTTTCCTCTCGCGAGAGGCGTGTCTTCAGCTTCTTGCAGTCTTCTCTGACATCACGTGGGGGTGGACCGCCTTCTTGAAATTTAAGTAAGATGGCTGCCTTATGCTCTGGGCCTCTCCCATTTTCTGCCCCCGTGAGTTTTCGCAAAATCCCTCTGCTGTGCTACACCTTCTCTTGCTCTCCCGTTCCTACCTTTATTCTTGCATCTGATTTTTTTCAAATAAAAAAACATCAGATTTGAGCAATGCTAAACCATGCGCTGGACTAGACCTCCCCCTGGAGGGAGACAAACGAATGATAAAGGGCTCTGCCCTCTAGATGATAGCAAACTAATTAGCAAAGTGATATGGGTTACAAATAGCCAAATAGAATACTTGATTAAGCTAACAATTATATGCTAAAGCACTCTACTAGGTTCTTTCCGTCAAGGAATTCACTGACAAAAAATAATTGTGATTTACGTTGTAAAGGGAACAGATAGGAACTGGGGTAGAGGCACCATGAATTGGACGGCTTCAAGGAAATGAATTTGTTCAAAAGCCATGTGATCTTTTTTTTTTTTAAAGATTTATTTATTCATTTGAGAGAGCGAGAATGAGAGAGATTACATGAGAGGGGGTAGGGTCAGAGGGAGAAGCAGACTCCCTGCGAGCAGGGAGCCCGATGCGGGACTCGATCCCGGGACTCCAGGATCATGACCTGAGCCGAAGGCAGTTGCTTAACCAACTGAGCCACCCAGGCGCCCAAAAGCCATGTGATCTTGAAAGAGGATCCCAAGCTTCAGGTGAGGCCCCAGCCTGGGCATACACCTTGATTGCATACTTGTGAGATCCTGGGCAAGGACTCACTGAAGCCATGCCCAGACTCCCGACCCATGGAAATTGTGAGATAATGAGTGTGTGTTGTTTTAAGCCATACATTTATTATAAGGCAAAAAGAACAAACTATTACAGACCCCTTGGAGGTGGTAGATAAACTGTAAACGTGGGTGGTAAATCCATGTCACTGCCCTAGTGAATTTCCAGTGGCTGGCTGTGCAGTGGACCAGTTTAATAAACTTCAGTGACAGCTGGACAAGGGAGGAGGAGAGTATGATGTATTCAAGCACTCAACTGTGTTTGAGGGAAACTTCGGTCAGATCAGTAAAAGAGAGAACATGCTGGATGTACACAACCATATCCAAATGGTGACACAGACATTGCATCCACCAGCCCTAGTTTCTTCCACTTGCTGTCACCCTGTTGGCCCACCTAGCCACAGGCTATGAAGAAGCATGCTGGAGATGGCCACGTCATCAAAGGAAAAGGGCAGAGGCCTACAAAGACTTTAGAGCTCTCCAAGCTGATTCCTTTGAAAGTTGGGAAACAGCAGCTGCACCAGAAGCTTGCCACTGGCTGTTTTTACTACTTGTAGGTTTGTATCCCTTCAGACACATGGACGACTTCTTTGCCTTTGGGAAAAGCCCATTTATCTCCTGAGACCATCAGTGGGGGGTTATAGAAATCCCCAGGCCATCATAGTTGGGAACACAGTGGACATTCCTACTATTGAGTCAGAGATGAGAAGAGCTCAGCACTAGGTCTCTGCTGCAACTCAGCAAGATGGAGCCAAAGGCCTTTGGGAGAACATTTATTTTATTTATTTTTTAGGATTTTATTTATTTATTTATTTGAGAGAGAGAGAGCATGAGCAGGAGGGAGGGGCAAAGGGAGAGGGAGAAGCAAACTCCCCACGGAGCAGAGAGCCCAACCCAGGACCCTGAGATCCCAACCTGAGCCAAAGGCAGACGCTTAACCAACTGAGTCACCCAGGTGCCCCTGGAAGAACATTTAAAAGCTGCAAAGCTTTTTGTGCTTTCTGTGGCTCACCTGGAAAATGCATTTCATGTTAAAGAATCCATTCCTAAATGGGCCACCACCGATGGACTTGCCACATCGGAGAGGTTCCTTTGTTTCTCTAGAATTTACCACAAGGCATTCAGACATTCCTTGTATATTAGCTGCTCTAATCTCATACCCATCTATAGCATCATAATCGTCCAATCTCTTCTTGAATGCTCACTACACCAATCAAAGAGTGATCTGTTGTGATCTATTTTTAATGATTAGAGAATTCTTCCTTTATTTCAACTGTAATCTGTCTTCCTGTGACTGCCATGCCCTAAGTTTGTATAAATCACTGTAACACCTATGTGTGAACACATGCACAGTCTCTTCCCTGCTATCAAAATGTAGTGTGCATACCCTTGACTCAGCAATTCCTACAGAAATAGTAGCATAAATATAGAAAAAAAAGGTATGTGAGGAAGTTCACTGGGGCTTTGTAATAATGCTTTTCCTAGTTCTGGAACACTCAAGTGAATCTAGAAGGACCATTTGGCAGAGACGTTGTAGAAGACATTGCTGCATCAAGTGGGAGCTTGAATTGATGACCTCAAAAGTTTGTCTAGTTATAGTCCTTTGTTGTACTCAGTTACAGGAAGAGAGGAGAGCAAGCCCTTCTGGTCTCCTGCTCCATCTTCTCTACCTTTGCTGTTCTCTCCACTCCATAGGAGTTCCGTGGAAAAGGGGATCAGGATAAGGCCAGTATCAGGAAGCTTCACATGGTCCTAGAGGGGTCTGGGAGCCCCTTTGATTATGCTGTAGAAAAAGGAGTCCAATATGCCTCTCACACCTGCTGTTTATAGACTTCCCAGTGAATCCATCCAAAGCACAGCCTCTTCTGTAGTCATGAAACCTACGGGCCCTGCCAAAGGGTCAAGAACAGCGGTAGCAGCAGGGGCAGCAACAACAGTGCTGCGTGCAAGGTAGCAACCAGGTCTGCAGGCCCAAGACAGATCAACACAGCAATGTCAGGAGCAGCCAGCCCTAAGGGCCCAGGAGGATGAGGAGCCAGCACAGTTATGGCAGAATCATGTAAGTGGTTCTGGCAGGTGCTTTACACACGTCCTTGAAAGGTACTTCCAGACCTGATGCACAAAGAATTACAACAAGGTGGGGGAATTGTTTTGTATCCAAGCAGGGTGGCAGGTATGGGGGTGCTTCTAGCTGTGATTTTCTCTATTTTACCATGTCTGAGACCAGGTGATCTTATCATCACGATGCCAGGTGGCAGTTAGTCGCGTTGCCTTAGAAAAAAACCTTTAACCAAGTTTCTTTCATTTATGTTTACCTTTTTATGTATGCACAAGAGTGATATGGGGCAAAAATACATCTAGGTCTGAAGGACCAGCCTCTTTCACTACATATAAAATAAAAATTTAAGTGATGAAAACAATGGCTGCATTTCGGAGAAAACCAGTTTAAGGTGGCATAGTTGGCATGTAAGTGGATAATAACCCTCTTTCCTGTACTTATTCCGTATGAGGACTCATCTTCCTGCTTCATCAATCCTTGCCTTGAAAGGAACCGCCAAATCCTTCCCTTTTCCAAATTCATCATGAACAAAAAGTAACACTGCCCTTAACTATAGGGGCGCCTGGGTGGCTCAGTCAATTAAGCGGCCAACTCTTGGTTTCGGTTGAGGTCATGGTCTTGGGGTCTTGGAATCAAGCCCCAGGTCAGGCTCCAAGCTCAGCAGCAAGTCTGATCCAGGATTCTCGCTCTCTCTCTCCCCCTCTCTCTCTCTCCTTCTGCACCTCCCCCCAACTCTCTCACACACAAATAAATAAATAAATCTTTAAAGGGGCACTTAGGTGGCTCAGTCGGTTAAAGTGTCTGCCTTCGGCTCAGGTCATGATCTCCAGATCCTGGGCTAGAGGCCCCATGTCGGGCTCCCTGCTCAACGGGGAGTCCGCTTCTCCCTCCCCTTGCTCGTGCTTTCTCTCCCTCTCTCTCTCTCTCACTCTCAAATAAATAAGATCTTTTAAAAAAGTAAAATAAAATTAAAAAAGGACTTCCTTTACCTTTAAGTGGAGACTATAGTTTTTTTTTTTTTTAAGATTTTATTTATTTATTTGACAGAGCACAAGTAGGCAGAGCAGCAGGCAGAGGGAGAGGGAGAAGCAGGATCTCCGCTGAGCAGGGAGCCCAATGTGGGACTTGATCCCAGGACCCTGGGATCATAACCTGAGCATACGCTTAACCGACTGAGCCACCCAGGTGTCCCTAGTTTTTTTTTTTAAGACCGAGCATGATGTTGAACAGAGGTAAACACTATCTCGCTTCAAGTTGATTCCAGTGCTTCACGAAGATTTGAATTTCTTCTTTTTCCTAAAACTTTTCTATCCCCACTTCTCAATAGCAATGGTTTAACTTTGTGTAACACTTTGCAGGGTTCCAAGCACTTACATGTACGCTTGCTCATTTAATTCCAACAGGCTCAAATTAGTGACTTGCCCAATGTCATAAAACTGGTAAATAGCTGAACTAGGTCTGAAATCTAGGTCTGTCTGGCCATAAGCCCAGTACTCTTTCCACTACAAGCGGCTAAATATCTACTGGAGTGACGTCGAATGTTGGTAATAACAGAAATAGACTGTTAGGGTAACCCACTGTAATTACATAGGTTATTTTGGGTTTTCCTAAATTCACAGTCCTGAGTACCAAGAGATTCAAGCTAAAAAGGGAGTTGCTATTGTTAGTGGCTCTATTCTCCTCCGGGGTATTTGCCAAGAACTATTCACAAACCAGACTGGGCAGGAACAGGCCATGTGAGGGAGGGGGAGGGTAGCCCTGAGGTCACAGGCTCTAACTCCTTGGACTCTGAGCCAAGCTGTCCAGTTGCTTCAGCATGAGCCAGGATGAAGAGAGTCAAGTTAGGCAGGAATCAGGCATTCTATTCAACAAAGTTCAACAGAGGGGAGGCCAAGGAAAGTAGAATTTCAGGGCAGGTTTCTTATCCAGTAAGCTGATACCTGGGAAAAGTCA